TCCTTGGGTATCTGGCTTCCTTAAGAATGGCAGAGTAGTTCTTGTTTTTCCCTGAGGTAATGCAGGGCTGGTAACCATCATCTTCTCACTGTCCATAGGTAGAGAACATCCTCCTATACAATATATTTCTCAATTAGTTTAAGACAGCTAAAGTTTTTTTTCTCTTGCTTACAGTTGCAAGTTCTTCATCCTTGTTTTCTGCCTCAGCTTGCCTCCTGCAGCTGGCGGCTATGCGCAGGCCCAGGGGCCACGCGAAGGCCCGCTTTCCAGCTCTTTAGCTTAAACTGAAGCTTGCTTTGTTTCCAATCTTTGCAGAAAGCAAAAGAAAAATGTAAATTTCTCTTTCACAAGTGAAATATTACCATTTGGGGAGGTCACATGAAGACTTTTTCCCAAACTTCATTCTCCCAGCTCCCCAGTTTAATTGCCTCTTAAGGAATTCAGTTTAGGTAGATAAAGATCATGACCAAGAAAAGAGAAAAATTCAAAGATGCATGCATTGGATTTCCAGATGTGGACGACTTTTGTTTTTGCCTAAATGGTGTTGACAATTTATGGTTGTCTTTGGAAAATCATTTGATAATGATCCAACTATCTAGAACCTCTTTATTTTATGCCTGTTAAAAAGAAAAGAAAGTTATTACCCAGGAAAATTTCCAGACTGCCATAAAAGAAAAGCAATTGCTGCCAAAAACCATCTGCCATAAAACCTCCCTAACAGCTTCTTACCTTTATGTATCTGTGAAGCACTCTTTTTAAAGTGAGAAAAGACCATCAATCATTTCTTTTAAGGCTAATTGTGAATGTTTAATACAGAAATTAAATATGATAAAATACAAAATAAGGTGTGTGGCACTCTAGAATTAAATGTGAGCATCTCCCAAAGGGGAATACAAGCACGAGACTCTCGAACCAGCAGGGCCACTAATGCACTGCAAGACCTTCAGCAAGTCCTCCCTGGGCCGTCTCTCCCTTCTTGCCCACAGCTGCTAGAAGGGGACAAGTGCCACTCCTACTGACCTTCAAGGGCTTTTATGAGAGTCCAACAAAGTAAGAAAAGTGAGAACATTTTGAAAAATTCAACATGAAATGAAATAAAAGATGTAACCTTTCTTAATGATAGTAAACACAAGAAAACTTGCCATGGGTAGTTCCATGTTTATATGACATTAAAAGATACTTCACTGAAAACGCAGTAAAATAAGGGGTTTGGGGCCACCTCTCAAGTGATGCTAAATCCATTTGGCAGATGGTGGGCTCAGTGTCCACACATCAACGTGTAGAAGTCCAGTGTGTGCTCATGGTTCTGGCGGGCTGTGAAAGGGGAGGGGTGAGGAGCGGGGATGGAAGCATGAGACTTTGCTGAGGGTGCTTGTCTCCCTCTCTCTGTTTCTGCCTCTCTCTTTTCCTCAGTCTCTCATTCTCATGAAAGAAATAAATACACTTTAAAAGTAAGGAGATTAAGCTGTAAGTCAGTGGTTCTTAAATCCGACCACACATCTGAGTCCCTAAAAACTTACTTCATAAAACAGAGGTCTAAACCTACCGTAGGTTTACTGATTCTGAACCTGCGTAGAGGGGGGAGCATGAACACTTTCAATGGGTTACTTTTAAAAGGAATTTAATGGTCACAAAAATGAAAAGTTATCTGCTGATAATGTACACAGTAATATCTTTGACTTGACTGATACATACCGTATTCATGCTGGGAAATAAAAATAATTAATTTTTTAAAAAAGCATGTATACAGTCTTATCAAGTAGAGAATAGGTTGTTTCTCCTCTCATGTTGTAGTAAAATTAAAATTTCCCCCATTTATATTTCTATATCAATATCCTTGATCAATGTTTCTGTGTGTGTTTTTTCTATACTGGTTTTAATACAGGCTAATGACCTGATGTGTTAAATGTTTTAACATAAAAAATTCTGCATGCTAAAAAGATGTACAGTAATTGGGACCAGCAGTTGGTGTAATGGCTATGTCACTGGACTCCCACATCGTTGACCGCGGTTTGCGTCCCGGACCCGGTGGCTTAAAACTCATGCTGGGCGCATGTGCGTGAGTGCCCAAGATTCTGAGAGGAGAATGGAGGAGAAGGGATTGCAGTGTGGCCATCCCCCCTGGGGGATGATTTCTCGCTTTCTGTCTCTCTGTCTCTGTCTGTCTGGTGAGCACACGCCCCCTATAGCAAAAACCTCTCAAAAAAAAAAAAAAAAAAGATGTACAGTGATTAAATATAACTTTTCAAAAAGTAATAATTAATTAACAAGGGATGAATTGGAGTATTTATTGGGAAACAAACAAACAAAAATCACAATGTATTTTATTTAGCAGAAGATCAGGGCATTTGTGGGGAAGGAATCAGAGGAGTCCCTTCAGTAAGACATTCAAGAAATTGTGATCAAATGCAACTTCTTTTGCAAAGCAGGAGGTCCTGACTCAGAGACATTAAGCGACTTGAAGATCACAGGTTGCTTTGGTGACAGGACGAGGGCTACAATACTCTCTGGGCCCCAGGATCAGTGTGGTGATTATCACGGCGAGAAATTAAATTAGTGAAGCCAGATTTAAAGTCAGGTTGATACTAAGCTCTGCAAAGCTGTTGGGAAGAAAATAAATATGTTCTGTGGCCCTTGGGCTCTCAGCTGGCCTTGACTTGATAAAGCTTCATGCTGTGGTACACCACTAGGAAAACAAAACTTGTGCCAGGAAGGGAGCCAATCACACTGTCTCAAAGAATGCGCACTACAGCCCTCTTCCTTTCCCCAGCCACGGTCAAGCAGCATAGCATCCAGGACAAGTGCAAGTCCACCAGACCTTGCTCACACTCCCTCATGACACTTGCTGCACCCCGTTTCTATCCACTCACGGGGCCTTCTCACACCTACTTTCCCAGATGTGTTCCTGGAGCTGATGGAGCACAGCTGGATGTGCCAAGTCCTGACCCCTGCTCCATGCGAGTCTGGGGGCTTCGCAGACAATTACACAAATGGGGGCAAGAGGCTTCCTCTGGTGTGCGTTCCATTCCCTCTCAGCCAAAAAGATGTGCACCATCAAAGGAGTTAGAGACCTTGCGTGCTATGTGAAACAACTTGCCCCTCATACGGATTGATATCACGGCTGCCACAAGATTAATTGTATTTTTCCTGGAACAAAGCTGAAAATCACTCTAAGGGCAATAAATGTTGAAATCTGTCTATGCTCTGCCAAAATTTCAGACAAAAAGCCAATAAGGCAATTTTTACCTTACGTGCTTGAATGGATTTTTAAAAAAATAGATCTAATGCTGAATGCAATAGAGTAGATCAGCCCTTGAGCTCAAAAGAGACTGCTCACTTTTGTTTGAAGAGTGAATTCTCCCGGGTCAGCTGAACTTCAAACCACGTATTGGCATATGCCACCCAAGGGAATCCACAGCCTACAACTCCTGTTAAATGCTTTACAGAAATAATGACTTACCAGGTGTGTGGACAACAGTTTCCCAAGGTCATCTCTTTTTAAAATAGGAAAGCCAAGAATGTGAAGTTAATAGTAGCAGGGCAGAGGGATCTGTTAGCCACAGCTACTTTTAAATTTTCAAAATATTCTGAAGATGGAAAAACCTTATCCTGAAGCCAGACTGAGACCTCTCAGTGTTCCCCTTGGGGTTAAATAGATGGTCATTATAACCCATTCTTCTTTATTTTTTTTTAAGAGGTTTTTGTTATAGGGCGCATGCGCTTGCCAGACAGACAGACAGACAGAGATAGAAAACGAGAAATCACCCCCCAGAGGAGATGGCCATGCCGCAGTCCCTTCTCCTCCAGTCTCCTCTCGGGATCTTGGGCATGCACGCACACGCACCCGGCGTGAGTTTTAAGCCACCAGGTCCGGGACATGAACCGCGGTCGACTACATGGGAGTCCAGCAACATAGCCATTACGCTAACTGCTGGTCCCAACCCATTCTTATATATAAAATAATTTATAGGTTATAAAGAATTCTCATACATTATCATACTTATCCTCCCACCAACCTGTGAGTTGGGTATTATTACTAAGGTCGCTTTATAGATGAAAAAACTAAGGATCAGCTATTTTAAACTGGCTTATAGAAATGTATCAGAAGGAATGATCAGACATGTACATAAATTGCTAAACATACACCTATATTTATATTTACAGCACATAGTCAGCATTTCAGCAGAGACTAGAAAGCAAACTCAGAATAATTTTAAGGGGTTATTAAGCAGCAGTTTACAAAAGTTAGAGACAGGTATAGAAAGTATGCAAAGGATAGATTGGTACTCCAGGGTGAATGGTGTAGCATTACATTCCTAGGTATGGACAGGAAGAGAGTGCTGGAATCTAGACCAAAGAACCATAGGAAGAAAAGGCCCAGCTGTGGTCGTGAGTGCTGGATACTGCTGCTAGTCAGGCTGAGGTCCTGCCCCACCATAAGAAGCTGGCACAGTAGTGCACCTACTTATAGTCCCAGTACCAGGGAGGCTAACGTAGGAGACCCCATCTGGGAAAAAGGAAGATAAAAAGGGCACCTTAGAGGCACTGTGATCTGTAACCTTCACGCAAAGCAGGCAACAACCTGGGATAATAGGTAAACCTGGGTCCCAAATTGGCCAAAACCAAGCAGAAGTCAAAAAGCTAGAGTAATTGAGGTAAAGTATATCTATGAGCCTCCTAGAGCAGAAAGTAGTATAAGGGAAGGAAAGGTAATAAATCTGGAGAGGCAAATGGAAAATGGCCAATCCGAATGTCTTCAAAATGTTCTTTATAATTAAAAATCAGCATGTTCACACAACACTAAGAGACTAAAGATACAGTGGTTCATACATTAAGATATTGGGCTAGCCATTGAAGACCATTTTCATTCTCAACAAATAAGAATATATTCATTCATTTATTCTATTTATTTCTCAATGACCATAAATAGAATTTACATTCTGAAAGAAAGAAAGTTCATAATATAATAGAAAACTCAGAAAAGCCAGTTTTTTTAAAACACACATAGCACGATTCAGAAATGTAAATACCTCTAGGTATTATTTCTGAGTTGCAGAATTAGTCTGTTTTCATTTTATTTATTGTGATTCTCTGCTTTATTTTTTTAATGTTCTGTAATGAACATGTATTGTCATTAAAACATGGAAAATAACATTTTGATTTAAAACAGATTATCTAATTTTTTTAGAAATTCTGAAGAATGTTAACAATCGTTGGCTCTAGCAAACTCTTAAACCCTAAACATAAGAAAAAGTCAGAAGATAAAAATGATCTATGTTTCAGGACCAGCAGTTAGCATAATGGCTATGTCATTGGACTCCCACGTAGTCGACAGCAGTTCGAGTCCTGGACCCAGTGGCTTAAACTCACACTGGGTGCGTGTGCATGCATGCCCAAGATCCCGAGAGGAGAATGGAGGAGAAGGGATTGCAGCGTGGCCATCCCTCCTGGGGGTGATTTCTCGCTTTCCATCTCTCTGTCTCTCTCTGTCTGTCTGGAGAGCGCATGCGCCCTATAGCAAAAACCTCTCCAAAAAAAAAATCTATGTTTCTACTGATATTGAATTGTGTTGGCTATTTTCAGAACTGCTCAGTCAGTTACCTATTGTATAATGTATCTCCATAACAATCCCATGACAGGAGTCCTCACCTCCTTTTATACACAAGATGACCTAGACTTAGAGAAGCTGTATCACCTATACAAGGTCATGCTTCTGCTAAGTGACAGAGCTAGAATTTGAATCAGATTGTTCGACTCCAAAGTCAATGCTTACTCCAAAGATCTGGGTCATCTTCCTAATAGGAAGATGCCGTACTCCCAGAAGCCCCATCCTACAGAAACAGTCTCTCTTTGACCACCAGGACTCTAAAGAACTGTGAGCAGACATTTCCCAAACAATTATTAGTATTCTTAGCTAACAATAAAGATCTAGAAATTCCAGGAGTACAAAAAAAAAAAAAATACAAGTCCCGTTTATAAAACTCCCAGAAAAAAGAGTTACTGATCTCAATGTTATACAGAAAAAGATTTATTGGCCACTGACTACATGCCAGGCCCTGAGCCACATGCTTTTACTCATCTCATTTTAACCCCACAACCTTCTGAGCCATCAAGTCTATTACTACCTCTGCCTTCTACAGGAAGAGATCAATCCCCCCAAAATATAAGCAACTTGCCTAAGAACAAACAGCTAGGCAAGTGGCAGTCTGGAATGTGAGTGTAGATTTGTCTGACCATGAAATACACTCTCTAAAAGCTTATTAATTAGGTAGAGAGATAAGCTATGCTTATTTGAGAAAGGCCCAGAATAATAAATCAGCAATCTCTATTAATACTTAATAATAATGTCCCCCAGTAGGTTTTTATGCTGCTCAGACTCCTACTGCAAGGACTTCATTCTACTGAGTAGCTCCCTTCCCCAGTGAAATTTAGATGCTTCTCCTTGAAGCTGAAAATCATGGTCTCCTATGCTCAAGAAGAAGCGAACACAGACATTAGAGAATAATTGCAGTATTTGCCATAGACAGAAAAGAAGCTCTTCCTTTGAGTTCCCCATCCCAGAGCTTGTCTCTGGGTAGCGGAAGGACCAGAGGCTCCTAGAATGGTCCAGCAGTGAATCTAAATTAGTCTCCATTCAAATCCCTTGTTGTGCTCTCAGAAAACCTTCACAGATTCGCCCTTCAAGGAGGCTAGTCTTCAGTTGCCTTGGGCAGCTTCATAAACATTCAGGACTTTGCAGTTCTCAAAGAACTCCAGCCCTAAAATTCTGTTGGCTCTCCTAGTTTCAGGAGGTGATGAGAATTAACTAGTAGATATGTTTTCTCTCCTTAATAATATAATCTGGGGAATTGCAAAAAGGCCCCTGAAAGCAGCCCTCTTCTGGCTTCACACTCACCCTTCCACTCCAACTCCATAGCCAGAGTTTATTCTTCTCCCCACCAGGCTGATGTACATTAAGATTCCATTTCACAGTGGGGTGAAAGGATAAGATGTATCTTAATTTACTTGGTGTTCTGCCTACCTAGCTTATTTAGATTTTCAGCCTGCTGAGAAGGAATTGGGCCTAGCTTAATGATCAGTTCAACACTTAACCTGTTGCTGACACTTGAACGTCTTCTAACCCTGGTTAAAATTCACAGACAGCATTTAGGCAGGCAGCCTGGGGGTAGGAGATCCTCTCTGGACCCTCTGTCATTATTTAGTTTTCTGCCCAGCAAAATCAAGAAAAAAAGAACTTGCAATGAGATTGTACCTGAACTAAGAAAATGACATTTTAGTTGCTGGTCTTAATGCTTTTTGGCATGAACGAGGCTCCGTATTTCTAGCCTGACTCCCAAGTTTTGTAATGCTTTCCTACAGCTTCTAGGAGCTTGTGGTTCTCTGCTTCCTGCCTTCTACAAATTATTAGAAATTAATTTGACTTGGTTCAGCATTATCTGACAATTGCACTGACCCCCCCGTGAACCTTTCTGGCTAATTTACATCCCCACTATGTGGCTTAATGTCTCCGATGCCAGTGCACATTATTTTAAGCTCATGCCAATTATAATTTTTTAATACAGTCTGAAAATCATGCTGTTACTTAGCAACAAAGGTCACTCCAATAAATAATAATATCCTGGGAGACTATTGATACCCTCGATTCTTTTTCATGGGGAATGAGAGTGAGTGATGAAACCTTTCCTGGCTACTGCTAATGTTTGAACTATTGACAAGTCGCCACTACCTGCTGCTTCTTCAATATGTGCAAGCTGAGCTTCCTCTTTATCTTACGCCTTCCTTCTCTTTGGGACAATGATTGCATGAGATTGGCTGAGCCCCTCTTCTCATCGTTTTTCTCCAGCATTCTTCCCACCTGCAGACCACAATAGGAAAATTAGTGCTTACAGATATAAACCATAACAAGATTCAGAAACATCAGACTCAAAGTGCCAGGAAGTTTTTATTTCAGAAGCCAAGGTTTGAACATCGCTAATAATATGGAATACTGTGTTTTTTCTTTCCTTTTAGACTCCCATTTCCCCCCTGGAAAATTATCTTAGCTGTAGGCTTGAGAGGACCTTTTGTGGACAACCAGAGAACTAATCAGGGTGTAAGAATTCCACAGCATACTTGGACTACAGACTTGAACCTCAAGGGCATCCCCCTTTGATGTCACCTGTCGCATTTCCCTGTCTTCTGTTTGCATTTAGGGTAAAAGCCTCCTTCTTCTCTAAGCAATGGGGGCCACAAATCCCCTTGGGATACTGACCATACAGGGTTGTTTAGAAACTGTACAATCCTGTATTTATAAGGAACTCCTTATTACAAGTACTCAGAGGAGAGCAAAAGAGCTAAAGAATCTTCACAAAGCCTGGCAGAGTTTCTAGGGAAGGAAAAGTCCAGCAGTCTTCACACCCTCCTCCCACTGCCCAGCATACTCCCCTACAGGTCAGTGTCAGACAAAAAGCCATTGACTCCTGACTTACTTCTCCCCATCAGGAGCTCCTGTCCTCTGAGAGACAGTCTAGGGTTTTCTTTCTTTTCCTTTCTTCTTCCTTCCTTCCCTTCTTCCTTCCTTCCTTCCTCTTTCTTCTTTCTTCCTCTTTCTTCTAATCACTACTTTTCATTTTGTTTTCTTTTTTCTTTCTTTCTTCCTTTCTTCCTTTCTTCCTTTCTTCCTTTCTTCCTTTCTTCCTTTCTTCCTTTCTTCCTTTCTTCCTTCCTTCCTTTCTTCCTTCCTTCCACAATCCTGTATTTATAAGGAACTCCTTATTACAAGTACTCAGAGGAGAGCAAAAGAGCTAAAGAATCTTCACAAAGCCTGGCAGAGTTTCTAGGGAAGGAAAAGTCCAGCAGTCTTCACACCCTCCTCCCACTGCCCAGCATACTCCCCTACAGGTCAGTGTCAGACAAAAAGCCATTGACTCCTGACTTACTTCTCCCCATCAGGAGCTCCTGTCCTCTGAGAGACAGTCTAGGGTTTTCTTTCTTTTCCTTTCTTCTTCCTTCCTTCCCTTCTTCCTTCCTTCCTTCCTCTTTCTTCTTTCTTCCTCTTTCTTTCTCTCCTTTTTCTTTCTTTTTCTTCCTTTTTCCTTTTCTTCTCAAAGAGAGATTATTGCTATAGGGCATGTGTGCTCACCAGAGAGACAGAGAAACAGAAAGCTAGAAATCACCCCCAGAGGGAATGACCATGCCACAATCTCTTCTCCATTCTCCTCTCTGAATTTTGAGCATGCACACACACACACCCAGCCTGAGTTTCAAGCTACCGGGTCTGAAACTCAAACTGCAGAAGGCCACATGGACATCCAGTGCCTTAACCACTATGCTACCTGCTGGCTCATAAGATTTTCTTATTAAGATTGGACCCATTTGAGGTCATCACATTTAACTACACAAAGAAGTAGTCTTACACTGCTAGTCCATAGTCTCTATTCTGTAGGAAATAAGCCACATATTATTAGCTCATATTAGTAGGTTACCAGGAACTATACCACATGCTTCTACTTAGTCCTCATACACAGATACTGCTATCATTACCATGTTACAAATGAGCAACTGAGGCACAGAAGAATTCTGCATTATTTAACTAGTATGCACCAGAGACAAAATTCTCAAGAAGAGAATCTGGCTCCAAAATTTCATGCACTTAGTCATGTCCCTTAACTGCCAGTATGCGACAAAGTCACTCTCCTCCCCTCACTAATAATGACACTTGAAGACAGTGAAGTTAGACAGACTAGACAAACTCATGTGGTCCTGTCTTCCGCAACCAAGCCAAAAAACAAAATCACAAGAGCTCCTGCCTTAGTCTTGTTATGCAAGATGAATCCCAGCAAACTAGATCCATTGAAATTTCTCAGCCATTGGCCATTTTTCTGTAGTTGTAAAGATCCAACTTCAGCAGCATAATACATTGCACACTGTCCATTTGCAAAACACTCAATAGGCACAGAATAAATATAAATCTCTAAGGCAGCCTGGTTGGGATCTAAACCTATGTGCTACGGTGTGGAAACCTCCTAGCAGGGTAAAGAATCTAACCAAGCAGGATATTAGCACCAATTCACTTTATCTTTTCTATAATTATCACTTCATTTTTACCCTAGGGACTAGAGGAAAATGCAACTATCATACAAGTTGGTTTATTTTCAGACCAGCAATTTTCATAACCAGATAGAAGGCTAATAGTTTATAGAGAAAGGACCCTACTGTATCATTTCAACATCCCAGCAGGGCCTTCTCAGATTAATCTTCAGTCCCAAACCACCAGCCTCTATTTAGCTGATAACCCAAATGTGTCTGAAAGTCTGAAGGCATTGACAGGACCAGCAGTTAGCATAATGGCTATGTCACTGGACTCCCATATAGTCGACCGCAGTTCGAGTCCTGGACCTGGTGGCTTAAACTCACGCCGGGCATGTGTGCGTGCGTGCCCAAGATCCCAAGAGGAGAATGGAGGAGAAGGGATTGCAGCATAGCCATTCCCCCTGGGGGTGGGGAGTGATTTCTTGCTTCCTGTCTGTCTGTCTCTGTCTTTCTGGTGAGCACATGTGCCCTATAGCAAAAACCTCTCAAAAAAAACAAAAAAAGAAGTCTGAAGTCACTGATACCATGCCAGAATGCTCCATTGTGCCGGGAAATTTTCCTTCATTAATTCATCTGAATTAAAAATTACTTGAGGCTGAGTTCCTAAGGCAATATTACCCAAGGCCTCTATAAAGAGAGCTGTTAGTGTCTGCTCACCATTCAGGGCTTCTGCAGCACTGTACTCAGAATTGGGGTACAATACCACTGGCTTCTATCTCACCATCCATCAGGAAATTGCTTTGTACCATCCATAGGACAAAAGCCAGCCACACCAAGAGGAACCATAAAGAGGCCAAAAGGCAGGCAACCACCCTCTCAGTTCAAAATTTCAGTATCTGCATCCCAATGCTGCTCTCACTTCCAGCCCTGTCTTATCCTTATTTAGCTTGATATCTGAAATGTGTTCATTTCATTATGCCTCAGTGGTTTGTGTGTTTTCTTAATCTTTACATATCCTTGCTTACCGATTTATGAGAACTATCTTAAAATAGAGTGACCATGTTCCCAGCATGTACATGCATGCATTCATTCACTTGCTCACCAAACATCTAGTAGGTATTAGACTGTACAAGGTATTGAAGATGCAAATGAATAAAATTCCACCTACGTACTTGTGGAAGTCAGGGTCAAGTAAAGATAGCAGACATGTAAATCAGTCTTGTAATGCAGTCAATAAACTTGTTCAAAATTCAGAAATAGCACAGAAGAAGGTGATACAGCTGGGAAGAAAGGGAGACATGGAGAAGGAGAAGGAACTAATTGTGCTAAATCCTAGTGACTTGAGGTAAGAGGGTTTGAGAAAGAGAGATTGGTACAAAAAATCATATAAAAGACATGATTTTAAGAAATTGGAACAAGTTCTTTATTGTCAGAATGCAGTATTGTGAAGCACAAAGAAACATGAGGGTAGACAAGAAGCAAGGGCCAAGTTTTGGGAGATTTTCCGTGATCCACTAAGATCGTTTGACAATATCAATAGTTTACATGCATTACCTCAACTGGTCCTCATGGCAGCCACATGAGGTAGGTATTAGATTGGATTTCAATAGGATCATTCAGCCACTGGTTGGGAAAAGACTGCGGAGAGGCAAGGGTAAAGTGAGAGGGTTGGTGAGGAGATGAAAGATGATGGTAGCTTGGACCAAGGTAGGGACAGTTGAGAGGGAGAAGCCATCAGAATGTTTTCATGGTCTAGATGAAAGTGAGAGAAAGAAAAGTCAAGGATAGTGCCAAGATCATTGAAAAGTAAGATTAAATTAACCAAGAGGAGAAAGCTACTGGTAGAGCTAATTGTGGATGATAATCAGAAACTCAGGTTTGGATATGGCAAGTTCAAGATGTGTACTGTACTAACTGAAGTTATCAAGTAGACAATTGTATATACAGGTCTGTAATTCAGGGAGATTCTTTAGAAGCCATCAGCATTCAGATGGTATTAAATCCATGTGACTGAATGCCACCTAGGAAGTAAATGTGGGAAAAAAAAGAGAGAAATGACCTAGAGACTATCTATGGACTCCTCCAGTATATAGCTATCAGAAACCTACAAAGATACCAGCAAAAGAGATTGTGAAGGAGTGACCAGGTTAGTGGGAACCAAGAGACAAGCATCAATTTTAGTAATGTGGAGATCAGGACAAGGAGGAGTAGAAGGAAGATGAAGAAGTTGGCTATCCCCTCTTAAACCACTCTTATTCTCATTGGCCCCATTTTCCCATCTACCCAGAACGACCCACCACAGCCCAAGCCTCAAGGCAGCCATAACTGTCTGAATACCAGGGCAGTTAATTACCAATGGTCACTTAATTACTTCAACATCAGTATATTTTCATTGAGTTAGTAATATGGTTTCATTGCCTGAATTATGTCATTTCACACTCTCTGTAATAAGAGAATTCCCTGAGAGTAGAAATTATCTCCTTTATTTCTGAAATCAGAGCAGTGATTATCAAAATACTTAAGTTTCTGAAAATTCTGGCACTTTTTGTTTAAGTTACTAAAATTCTTCATTTAACATTTGTAAAATTCATTTTATTTTCCTTTTTCTGTTGGGAACTCAAGAGGAACTGGTACTTGTGCTTTTCCAAATCAAACTTATCCTCTTTGGTTATATCTGCAAGCCAGTGAATTAACAAGGTCGGTAGTTCCTAAACACAAGTGACTCTCCCCTACGACTTGCTAATACAATAACAAGCATTCATCAGCAGAACTTTGTATTGGCAGCCCAAAGCCAGGGAACATCATATAATCAACAGTGGACTTCTGTTTCTAAGAGTTGCTCTT